CCAAGTTGGGTGCCAGACAGATAATTGGTGATAAGTGTTTGGAGTTTAGAAACCAGGTGATATATATGAACGATTCCCCGGTGGTAGAGTCCAAAGACCCAGTTTATACTGTAGGCTTCACTCTGCTCCCAAGAAATGGCTGGGGGCTCTCCAAGAGCCCTGGAACCCAATGGAGCATCCAAAGCTTTGAACTGAGAATTGCCTGGACCATAGAATGCATCTACTGTGTCCCCAAATCCAATTAGCAATTCATGTGCCTTTGTTTAAGGCACTGTGCCAGGCATTGGATATATCATGGAGAACAAGACTATCCTCCAAAATGCTTAGGAGATTGAGATGAGAGGAAATTTCAACATAGTGAGTAGGGGTAAGCCATAGGTGCTGATGTCACAGGAGATCTTCATCCTATCTCAGAGACCAGAGAAAGCGCCTGGAGAACGTGCCTGCCAAGCTTCCACCTGGGGGATGATAAGGGAGCACCAGGTAAAGAAGGGAATGTGGACAAAGTGTTATAAGCAGAGAAAACAGCGTGGGACAAGGGGAGAGGGTGTCTGGGGGCGCAATTGAGCATGTCTGAGGTGTAGAATGAACGGGGTAGACAGGAGAGGAAAATGGAGTTTGGAGGCGCACCAGGAGGGTGACAGGCAGCACTGGGACTTTATTATAAAAACTACAGGAAACCTTCAGGGAGCTTGAGGCAGAGAAGAGAGGATAGGGTAGGGTGGCTTGGAAGAAGGCAAGCCTGGAATTACTAGCATTGGCAGTTGGGGAGAGTGGCCATCTTAGACTCACAGTTATGACTGATACATGCGTCCATACAACATGAGGCAGGGAGTGGCAAAGGCCTGGGTCAGTCAGTGGAAGGTGTTCTTCAAAGAGTTGTTTATTTTAATGGAGATGAGTCACAAGGTGCTAGCATCTTTTGAGAAAATATTAATTTTTATTGTATGTGTGAGTGTTTTGCATGCGTGGATGTTGTGACCATATGTGTGCAATGTCTGTGGAGACCAGAAGAGGGCGCCAGATCCCCCTGGAACTGGAGTTAGGGATGGTTGTTAACCACCATGTGGATGCTGGGAACTGAATCTGGGTCCTCTGCAAGAGTAGCCAGTACTCTTGACTGTTAAGTCATCTTTCCAGCTCCAATGTGCCAGAATTTTAACAGGGGGGCCAGAGTGTGGGGGAAAGGAAAGAGATGGGAAGTTCTAAGATGAGACAGTCCCCAGGAAGGGCAAACGCCTCCACATGTGGGAGGTGGAGGCACTGCAGGAGAGCAAGACTGCAAACCAAAAAGGGATCATCTTTCTAAAATGTCCTGCAGAATGTATGTGTGTGTGTGCGCGTGTGCCAGGAGCTGTGTGCATTCATCACAGGGGAGGGGGTTTCCTCATGGGGAGGGGGTGGGGCTGGCTTTTGAGGGAAGGTGTTCTGTGCCGTGTATTTAGACTGAATGCTTATGATGAGACACTCTGAGTCGGGATTGATGTACAGATCTCTGGAATGTATACTGTAGGAGAATCTGCTTGCAAGAAAAAGGGATTCGCATCTAACATATCCTAGAGGGGACATCCAGGCCTCTGGACAGCATGTGTTCACAAGACAAGATCTCAGGCAGATCAGGCTATGAGCTCTGTGCACATCTACAGAGTATTTGTGCTCACTTTGTGTACAGCAGGGATGTGTATGTTTTTGTCAAATGAGAGAGCATTTCAGTTTTATTAAAATCATTTTAGGAAGTATATATTTGGAAAAGTTTAAATGAGATATTTTAAGAGAAATAAGTATAGGATGGACATTGGCTACTGAGTTAATATAATATGTAATATATTATATATAATATAAAATAGATATTTGCCTAGGATGCACAAAGCCCTGGGTTCAATCTCTGGTACTACAAAATAAATTAAGTAATAGCCGGGCGTGGTGGCTCATGCCTTTAATCCCAGCACTTGGGAGGCAGAGGCAGGCAAATCTCTGTGAGTTCAAGGCCAGTCTGGTCTATCTAGTGAATTCCAGGTCAGCTGGGGCTCCTCCTGCCTCAAAAAGACTGAAAAAAAAAAGGGGGGGGGGCTGGAGAGTCACTCAGTTGGTAAAGCGATTGCCTAGTACATGAAGCCCTGGGCTTGATCCCCTACACAACACAGATGGGACATGTTGGTATAGCCTGTGATCTTAGCCCTTGGGAAGCAGAAGGAGGAGGATCAGAAGTTCAAGTCATCCACAAAACTACAAATAGGAAAATTCAAAGGCAGACACTAACATCCCTTTATAAAAACCTAGCAGTTCAAATCCTGAATGCAGCTTATAGTTTAGCTGGAGTCCCATTACATGTATGAGACTTTCATTTAGCTCAACAAACATTTCTGGAGCCCTGGGCTTTCCTATGAAGACTCATTTCCCTTTTCTCTGAGACACCTTAGTCTCTGGCCTGCAATTAACACAATTATATGTTGCATTGTTCTTTAATTGGTGCATGTGCAGCAATTACTAACTCCGGAGGAAGCAGTGTGTTAGGTATGTTTGGTGTGTTCCTTGGAGCAGGTACTATATTACAAACTTCAGGGTAAGTGATAAAGGTACCAGAGGGGTAACTATACAGAAGCACTTGGGACAAATGAAAGAACACAAAACTATGTATGGACTATATTTGTTTCTTTAATAATAGAATATAGAATTCCAGTCTACATTTTCATGTTATGGGAAGGCTTTGTGTATCAAAGTCATTGTTGTGATTTCCCAGAACGCTTTGTTCTTAATTTGAAACAGAACTCTTCCCTGAAGATGAGAGTTAAAAGGGAGAGTCAGTCTTGGGCGAATTACACCCTAGCAGGATTGTGCTGTGCCAGGATTCTGCAGTAGTGGGCACCACTGGTATTTTGGACTAGGTAATTTATTACTAGGAGCTGTCTTGTATACTGCAGGATGCTGGTAATATCTTTGGCTTTCACCTGCTTATATGCCAATAGGCAACAGGTCCTTCCTTCCCCTACCCAGACATTAAAAAATGTCTCCAGACATTACTAAGTATCCTCTGGGGGCAAAATCACCCCAATTGAGAATCTTCCTCCTATAGAAATTTTGATTCTAATTAGGTAACTTTAAAAAAATATTTTATTTTTATTTTATGTGCATGTGTGTATTGCCTGCATGTATGTAAGTGCACCCATGTGTGGATGCCTGTGGATGTCAGAAGAGGGCATGGGATCCCCGGAACTGGAGTTACTGGCAGTTGTTAGTTGATACGTGGGTGCTGGGATTTGAGCCTGGGTCCTCTGGAAGAGCAGCCAGTGTTCTTAACCACTGAGCCATCTCTCCAGCCTGCTTTCTTTTTTTAAAAAAAACTTTTTTGTTTTATGTGCATGAGTGTTTTGCCTGCATGTATGTAAGTGCATCCATGGGTGCAATGCTTGTAGAGGCCAGAAGAGGGTGTTGGACCCCCTGGAACTGTAGTTACAGACAGTTGTTAGCTACCATGTAGGTTCTGGGAACTGAACTCAGGTCCTCTGCAAGAGCAGCTAATCTTAACTAGTGAGGCATCTCTCCAGCTATTTCTTTTTTTAAAATATTAAGTTAATTCAGGCTGTGTGTGGTGGCAAATGCCTTTAATCCTAACAGAGGCAGGCAGGTCTGTGAGTTCAAGGCCAGCCTAGTGTACATAGTGAGTCCTAGGCCAACTGGGGCTATACGGAGACCCTGTCTCAAAAAGACCAAAAAAAAAAAAAAAAAGTTAACGTGTGTGTGTGTGTGTGTGTGTGTGTGTGTGTGTGTGTAATCTATGGCATGGCACAAATATGGGGTAGAGTACAACTTGCTGGAGTTGATTCTCTCCTTTCACCATATGGATCCTGGGGATCAAACTCAGCTTGCCAGGCTTGGTGGCAAGCGCTTCACCCGCTGAGCCATCTTACCATCCCGAGGACATAGTATTTCTTATCTGCTGTGAGCTAGGCACTGTATTTTACCTTCCTTCCTCTTAAAGATCGAGAAGCTCATGTTCAGAGTTGAACCTGCTAAAGATGCCAAAGCTAGCTCTGCAGTTAAAACAGGATTGTGTGTAGGGCTCCTCAGTCTCCAAAGACTGGGCTGAGGCCTGCCCACTGCCTCTGCCAGACAGCTGCAGGGCTCAGATTGGAGGTAAACTGCAAATACAAAAAAATTTCCCGGGAAATACTTTTTAAAAAAAACCATTTTCCGAGGGTGAAAAGAGGGTATGACTCTTCGACTCATTAAATCTGCTAGACTCTAAGCGTATATGCACATACACAGACCCGGGGCCCTCGCCACCGACGTGCCTCTGGCCTTATCTAGGAAAAACACTGAGCTACACAATGGGAACAGCTTCGATTCTCGATTCTCGCAGTTACAAATTATCCAAAAGGCAGAGCCTAACGGTGCCAAAAGCAACCGGTATTGTTTATATAAGGGTTGAAGGCTAATAGTTAACTTTCTCCCATTTAATTCCAGAAACAGTAAACAACGCCTCCCGTTACAACTACTAACGAGTAAAATGTCATAAAACAGGGGGAAGAAAACACTCCTTGAACAGAAAATGCAAAGACTGCTTTTGCAAGCGCTTCCGCCTCCTCGCGCTGCAGAACTGGGTGCTGGGCCTCGGGTCCCCATCGCCCCCGCCAAGCTGTGTTCCCTGGTGCCCAGAGCTTTCTGGCTTCCTTTCCCGCCCTGGGGCGGAGAGCACGGCCTCTGAGCCAGGACTGCAAAAACAACAAGAAACTTTGGCTGGGTTTGCAGTTCAGTTTAAAAAAAAAAAAAAAAAAGCACACACTCAAGTTAGGTTAGGGGCTGCAGCAACTGCGGTTCGGATTTGGGGGTGGGGGGGATGGATGGGGGGCGGTCACAACTTGTTCAGGTTCACTGCGCATGTGCATGAGGAGTCCACCGGGCACTTACAGAGCGCCGACTGTGTGCAGGCCGCCGGGGGTGTGCTCGGGGGTGTGTGCGGGGCGCGCGCGTGTCCGGGCTGGGGCGCGCAGGCCGTGCGCGCGCGTGTCCGGGCCGGGGGTGTGTCTCCTCGCTCGCTGGCTGGCGGGCTGCGCCGCGCCTGTGTTTGCTCCCTTCCCGGGCGGGGGAATCCGGGCCGGGTTGTGTCCGCGGCCGCGTACGTGAGCGCAGTGTCCCGGAGAGGGAGGGCCGGCCGGCCAGGTGGGCGCGCGGCGCCGGCGGGAGGGAGCGAGGGCGCGCGGGGGAGGGAGGGCGCGCTGGGCCGCTGCAGCCGGAGCCGAGCC